AGAGCAAATTCAATCCAACCAAAATGAGAACTCATCCTATGAAATGGCAATTGTACATTTTTAATGATGCAATCTTCTCTTTCTTCGGGCATTTTTTAGCACGTAGGTTTTCTTTTCTTTGTGTACAAATTGCTTTTAGGATCCATATTAAGGGGGTACCTAAAGACTTAGCATTGTCTAGTACTAGAGAACCTATAAAACTCTAGGAATCCTTCTTATGTTAATAAGCTCATTCAAACCAATTCCTAGGTAAACCCTAGGTCAAAACCCAAAATTACTTTTAAGAAATCTCTTAGTCTCATGTAATAGCCTATATCACTGATTACTAGAAGAATATCATCGACATATAACACCAAGAGAATAAATTTACTGCTTTCATATGTCGATGATATTCTTCTAGTAAGCAACCTTCTAAATATTCATCTTTCACCAAGAGAAAATTTATATTTATTTATATAATATTTAAATTTTGAAATCATATAGAAATATTATTAATCTTAATTTTTTTATACTGCAACATGATTAAAAAAGTAAAAACATAATATAGATTACTATAAAAATTAAAATATTATCATGTATATTTGTGATATGTATGTAAATTCCCTTTGAAATACATAATGAAAAATGCCCACTAATCCTGTATTCGATTAGTATGTACAAAATGTGCGGTAATTTTTTCCATTGCAAAGGCTAAGGATATAAAATAGAAAAAATAGCTACAAAAAATACGATAATATATACCAATTTGTATACAATGACTGAACCTGAAACAAACCTTAAACACATGCAATTATATAATGGACCTCTTTTAGTCGAAACGGATCCAAAATTTTTATTGCAATAATATATAAGTTTAAACTGAAGAATGGTGATGATCACGTTGAAGCTTTGGAGTTTGACCTAGCTCGCCATTTGTTGTCAGTGATAAAAATATCATTAGCCTTAATATGATAATATGGTTCAACTTCACTCACCATTCTTTATAAGCGATCATCAACATCATTGGCACTATCAAAATAAAATGGTTTTTCAAGAATGTTTTTTTTTTTCACGTACAAAGCATGAATAAAGCAGCATTTAAAATTTGATAACGAAAGTACATCAAAAGACTTAAACCAATGTTGAAAGAAGCACTAATGCATTAACTGGCATAAATTATTGGCATGCAGCTTCACTATGCCAAAGATGAACTGAAAAGTTGGAGAAGAAATTGTGGGTAGCCCCTCTGTCAATCAAAACTATCGCCTCCCTGCCTGTAATTTCTCCCTTTACTTTTATGGTGTGACTTGGGGTGAATCCTACCACTGAGTTCAAGGAGACCTCTGTCACGTCTAGATGCAACTTGTTCTCCTCTACCCAAGTCTCACTACCACCTTCCTCACCTTCCTCATCATTACAGACGGTGAGAACTTGAAGAGTTCAATCCCTGCACTTGCGCCGCGGACTATACTTCTCATCACATATGAAACATAATCTTTTCGCCCTCTTTTCTTGCAGCTTTCTGTTAGTAAGCTTCTTGAAGTTTCCCCCACTTTCCCCTCCTACAGGCTTCTCCCTTGGGGTCTCACTAAAGGTTTTCGGTGTAGGTTCCTTGGGTGCTAAGAAAGTGATGGTCATCCTGTATGAGCCACATGAACTGCGACCTCTAGCTCTGCTCTTATGGAACTTCTGATCCTCCACCAATTGAGCTAGCTCCATAGCTGCTCCCAAGTCACGTGGCCTCTTGACCTGAATTGATGCTCAGATATCTACTTTGAGTCCCTTAATGAAATTCCATTCTAGAACAGTCTCAAACAGCTGGTCCAGTCTCCTTGCCAGGTACTCAAATATATCATGGTATTCTGCCACTGAGCATTCATGTATCAGGGCAAAGAACTGCTCATAAAAGTACCCTTTATTGGTTTGGAAACGTTTCGATAAGCACTCTTTGAACTCTCTCCAACTCCGTATGGTCCCCCTCATGTCTTTCCATTGGTACCAAGCCAATGTCTTCCCTTCCAAACATAGGCCGACTGCTGTCAATCTCTCCTCCTCCATCAATCCATTGATGACAAAATATCTCTCTACCTTGTAGATCCACCTGTGTGCATCCTCCCCTTCAAAGATGGGCATCTTCAGCTTCCAAACCTTCGATCTCCCCCATTTTCCCTGATTTCTTCATAATTTCCTCTTCCCCAAGTGGGTCCCCTCGGGTATCCCGATCCTCCCTTCCACATTCGTACCAAAACTCTTCTTCTATTTCTTTCTGTTTTCCTTCAAAATAAGCACATCTCCGGCTGTAATCTCCCTCTCTTCTTTCCCAATCAACACTCCTTTTGATGTGAAACAAACATGTGATGGAGTTACTTTAAGAAATTAAAGAGAGCAATTTTAACAAAATAATCCAAAATAAAATTATCACTTATAGCAAAAGATTGATCCTTGGAGTTCTCAGTTTTTAACTTGCTTAGGCAAAGAAGAGCGCAATCAATCAACCAAACAATTCAAGAATACACAAAGAATAATTGTAAAACTACGACAATAAACAAGAGTCCACGATTTAATAATGAGAATTTTCACCTTTGGAGTTCATACGCTCAAGTAGTTTAGGATTTAGCGGAAGAAGAGTCTCCACATTAGAACCGAGGTCACTTCGAGGAAGGAGGAACCTAAGATCATCGTTCTTGGATAGGTGGCCGGAGCGGTGGAGGGTGATGATCGTCCGATGATGACCCAACATCCCTTTGATCTTTGCTCGTTGATCACATCAACTAATGTGTACTGGATACGGTCGATGTAATCGTCAATAGTGTCGTCGAAATCGAAGCCCACATCAAAGAACGGTGATTGGAGGATGTCAACTTGATCTTGGTCGTCATGCAAAAACCCAAAGTTCCACTCGGGCTATGATGCACGGACACGGATACAGCGACACAGACATGACACGACACGTACACGGGACACGGTTTTTTTTGAAAATATAGGACACGGGTATGGCGCGGACATGGCAATACATTTTTTTATATAGGGTATATATATTAATGTAATATCATATTAAAAATGACAAACAATAATAAATGAATGACATGATAAATTGTCTAGCTTATAATATAAAATATTTAGTAAAAAATATCTATAATAAACACAAAAATATAGGCAAATAATCACTTACTACAACATCAAGCATTCAAGCTTCAACTACTAGGATTAGCTTTAGAGGTTTGTTTTTGGCCTTCAATATCATCATCATTGAATATTACTACTTTTAACTATGGTTCAACAAGAGAAAGATTTGTAATTGTGCAAAAAGAGAGGAGATGAAAATACCTTCACTGCTAAAGAGAAATGAAAATGAGAATATTCGATGAATGGGTATTAAATGCAGACGTTGATTTTGTGTTGTGGATATGAAATAAGAAATTTAGTTTAAATCTCGCCAAATATAAGAAATTATATTTTAAAAAAATTATAAAATATTTAAGATACGCGTGTCGGACACACGTGTCCAATTTTTTTTAATATTTTTTTAAACGGACACGTTTTCGGCGTGTCCGACACATGTCGGAGGAGTGTCTGTCGGACACGGTGTCGGACACGGTGTCAGACACTGCACGCCTCTTTGAGGAGAAGTGTCGGTGCATCATAGCACTTGGGTTCCTCCATGCATTCTTGCCGGGAGTTGATGCAGCATCCGAGAGAAGAGGGCAGGTGGTCAGCTTGGGTGAAGAGGGCGGATGGGGCTAAGGGAGAGAGACACCAAATATGAAGTTTATTTCAGATTTAAAATAAAAACTACAGTTTTAATTTCAATGTCATATTTGGAATTTGAACTTAGAGAAAGAAAGGGAGGGGAATTAAAGAGGTATTTAAGTAGTGTTTAAGTGGGGATTGGAGAGAGAAAAGAGGAGGAGGTGGTCGGCCCCATGAGGAGTTGAGAGATCCATCAGATTAATGACGTGGCCTCTCCTGAGAAAATCAGGGAATTATTAAATCTGACATTTAATTCTCAGGTTTGCTATCACAGGAAGATTTCCTCATTAGCTTGCCTCTAGAGACGTTGGAATTCTTCCGTTAAATGAGAAGAAATAAAATAGGCTAACTTTCCTAATAAAAGGGGCTGTAGAATAGGAAAGGAATTAAGGTTTTTGCATTGAAGTTCAAATTTTGAAACAGGTTGTTGGTGGGCAGACGTGGAGTGGCTGTGGGAGCGGGAGGGAGGGACAGCCGGCTGCTTGGTCGCAGGGAAGGCCGCCGGTGGCTGGGCCGGCCAAGGGAGGCCGACGGTGGAGCTTGGGTGGTGGTGGGGAATTGAGAAAAAGAAGGGGATTTCGGCTAAGTGGGGGAGAAAAGATTGGGGAGAAGAACAAAGAAATTTCAAATGATAAACCTTGAACACGAATCCACCGGTAGAACTCACAAAGAGATCTCCGATGGTCTCCTCTTCAAGAACTCACAAAGAGATCTTTAGAGGTTTCAAGAACTCAGAAAGAGAACAAAGAGCAAATTTTCATTTCATCAAAAACTAACTATTACATGGGAAAATGGCCATATAAATAGGCCTCAAAATGACAAAGAAAGTAAAATACTAAAATGCCTCTTGGGCTACAATAGCTACCAAATACACATAAGGGCAAAAACGGAAAAACATAAAATAAAAATAAATTACTACATAAAATGATGAAAATACAGATCATGATCGTGGCCGTCGATCTCCGGCATCTCCTGGAGGTACATGTGTCGAAATCGCTGCTGATGTCCCCATCACCTTTGTTCTTGCTTCACATATCCGCGCCTCTCCCCATACCTTCCACCTCACTCGTCCCTCTGAAAAGGTTCTTGATAGGGTCTTCTCCCTTCTCCCTCTAAGATCTCCACATCATTTTCATCTCTACAATTTTTTAGAGTTTTTATTTCTTCCTACCGGCACACTTGCCTCTGATGCCGCCATTTGATTCTGAACATCCCATATCTTCTTCACCATCTCTTGAAGGTCCAAAAATTTGTCTTCTATGGAAGAAATTCTATCTCTCCCATCGCTTTGTTTTTGCTCTGTCCCCCTCAAGGCGTTCTTCTAAAGCATCAACCTTCTTGGTCGCCATTGATACCTGGATCTTTGTTTGACTCACAAATCTGAATTTCAATCCCAAAAACAGCAAAAACAGCAGTTCGATGGAAAAAAACTGCTGCAGGAATCAGCCCAAACAGTCCCAAATCCAGTCCCAGACACCGCTATGATACCAATTTGATAGGAAACACTTGTAGATCTCAAGAGAAACGCATCAAGATTGTAATTTCAGCAAGTTCCCTCCACAATTCTTCCACCAAATCAAGGAAAACTAGCAAAACAACATAATAATTGGATGAAGACAGAAGAAAAGTACCAAGGTATAATTGATCCTCAATTAGAGAGGAGGATCTATCTCTCCCAACTCTCTAGACGCCGCTAGAGCCCAAGAATACCAAAGCACCAAATAATTTAACAAACACAAGATGACCCTAACCCTAATTCCCTCCTACTTAAAGCAAACAAAACAACAAAGTAAATTTTTAAACAACCCATGCAAACCTAAATTCTGCCCTATCCGCACTCTCCTTTTTCTCCAAATTCAAATAGTGGCCCGCCCCCCCGGGCTGGCTGTAGCATAGACCCCCCCCCCCAAAGGGGGCTGACTGTAGCATAGGCGGAGTGTATCAGGGCCGGCCCTTTACCTAGGGTTGGCTGGGCCGGTTCAACATGGACCAGTCTAACAAAGAGGTTTACGTATAATAGTGATGTGGGATATTTCCATGGAAATGAAGTTGAATGATGGCCTCATTTAGGTTCACAAAATGAATGTTTGAATTATCATTGACAATGCGCTTGTTTGGGCTCTTAAGATATATTCTCTTCTCATCAAATTTTTTAGTGAAGTGTTTTCAGTGATGTAGTACCACTTTGACTTACCTACTCTTCAAAAGCTTAAACTCAAGTGGGCAATTGAAGCTTTATAATTAGCACACAAACTATAATGCTAATGAGATTTGAATGTGACCTCATTTGGAAAGCCAATAAGCATATGATCTTCAATGCATTGCTCTATAACCACTGAGATAGTTCCACACGTGGAAAATAGATTTTAATGGATTGAGCTGATGTATTGTAAGACAAAAGATTCCCCCAGTAAGTCAAGTAGATAGAATTTATGATGATGGATTAGGAAGGAAAAAAGATGGTTCAAAAATAGCATGGCTAGAAGTTGTGATGGATATTATTAATATTTCTTGTGGCATTCAATGTGAATGAATAGAGGAGAAATCATAACTTGTCAGTCAGATTAGGTTTTATGATTAGCCATTCTTACAAGGGAGAGATGTTTTTCTAGGTTGATATTTGAGGGATATTGTTAATTTCGCTTGTAGCACTCGATTTTAATGAATAGAGGAGGAGAAATCATAAAAGGTTGATCATATTAGGTTTTGTGATTAGCCATTCTTAGCAGGGAGAGACGGCTTTTTTTTTTTTAAGTTGATTTTTGATGGAATATATTTTTTAGTTTCTCGAGTACAGCGATGCCAAAAAAACATTGGAAAACAAGTCCATTTATCATAAAAAACAGATTTTGAGATTTCACATCTAACATTCATGTTGACTGTTAAAAGTATGGAATATTCTACAAAACCTTAAGTGGATGCTGTGCTATCATCTGCGGCATGCTTTACCTTTTGACATGCCGTATTGGCCTAGATCTGTTCATCAACATAATCTGGAATTATGGTACATTTTTATCCACATTTTCCTTTTTTTATTTTTTTTCTTAGAATCCGGCCTTGTACAAGTGCATTTTGATTAGTTTAATCTTTTTATAAGTGAGAGCATGGCTTGATGTTAAGTCAATCTTCTGTGAAAAGTTTGCCAATGCTAATTTGTGGAACTTATTTTTTGGCTTGCCATATTCATATAAATCGATTATAGTAGTGGATATTCTTCATATTCAACAATAATTGTGATTTCATAATCAACTCCTAGGATTGCATCACTTACTCTTGGTTGCAAAGTAAAATGCAGGGTTTACACGTCAGCTATGTTGCACTGATACGGATATGACACGATACGGATACGGGACACGTCAATTCTTAAAAATACAGGATACGGGTACGGCGCGGACATGGCATCATAATTTATAGATCATACATAAAAATTAAGAAAGCAATCAAAGCATAATATTTGAAATTACAAAAAAAATGACACAACATCATTTGTAGCCTTGGAGCTTATAATATCAAAATATAAGCATTAAATGTCTAGTGCAACAACAAAAGCATAAATATAAATTGTCTAGCACATAAAGTTTCAACTATTCAATAGAAGGAATGAAATGATTAGCTTCTTCAGTGGTTTGTCTTTGAATTTATATATCATCTTCAATAAATATCATAGCTTTTAATTCAGGCTCATCAAGTGAAAGATTAGTAATTTATAATATTCTCATATCATCAAGAGACTCAAATCTATCTCGGAAATGAGAGAACTTTGCTCGCAGCCGCGGAAGTAAATACGACGCATCTTCTTTTTTTTTTCGGATTTCTTTTTGTTTTTCAACGGACACGTATATCGGATAAGCGTGTCTTTTTGAAAATAAATACTATTTTAATTGGATACGTCTTTGGCGTATCCGACACGTATCGGTGGAGTATCGGAGGCGTATCTGTGTATCGGTGTATCGGATACAGCCTGCCTTCATAAATAGGTGTATCGGTGCAACATAGCACGTCAGTTGTCTTGGGTTTAGATTGACCCTTTTTTATTTCTCAGTTCCACAGAACAATCTGTCCTGAGAAGTTAAGTGGCTGCCAGTCACTTGAGCTTCCCTTTGATTATAAGAGTAATGCAACATTTTTAAAGGAAATCTACACAAATAGCTGCCACGTCAGCATTCATACTAGAGCTTACATCACACCTTGTATTTTTGTAGTTTAGATCAACGTATATCTCTTGAAATAAAATTCCTTTTTATGCAAATCTAACTTGCCCTAAAGCAAATTAGATTACTTCTATGGAATATAAATAGTTCTTTTTCACAAATAAAAACTGACAAGTATACATAGATGCTGCGTCAGCAGCCAAATAGGAGAGTTGTATCACTAATTTAAATTTTGCTTTCTTTGTGGACTAAAGTATTAATCTGATTATAATCTTACAAAACTTTCTCTTTACTTCTTGCCTAGATGGTTACTGTGAGTGGTTGTAAGATTTCATAACAATTGTACGCTTCTTTGTGTGGACAGCTTGAACCCCTTCATGAAGAAACTTTCATACCCCCTCTTTCAAGTCATTAATTTATATCCATGAATAATTCAAACTCTTTCTCTAACATAAACTTACAGAAGGATTAATCAATCACTACAAATTATATTGTCTCAGTAATTTTATTAAGCATACCATTACTACCATTAAGAGAGTGCCATTTTCAACTATCTCCTTCATGCATTCAATTCTCTCGCATACACATCAGTATAGTTTCTTTTGCTGAAAGTAGTCTAATTCCTTTCTTCTTGGGTTGTTTATATCCATACGTTTGTAAAACTTTGATGTTATTTGTAAAAGTGGTTAAAGTAGCTACAAATTCAAGTTTTAGTATTGTTTTGAAAAATGGGATAGCCTTTCTTTATGAAATCAATCATTTTTTTATAGGCTGACATGTGGATGGATGGAGCGAGCGAATCAGCAACTGACCAAAGCGTACCGGAATTTGTCGGTCGCATTGGAAGGTAAGGCTCTTGCCCCTGAATACCATTAGATCATTATCATCATCTTTATAGAAATTATTCACAAATAAAAAATTTAGGGCTGGATTTTGAATTATGAGCTCATTTGGCTTTATAAAGATAGTTTGAGGGTGTTTAGAATGCTTGTAAACAGAATGCAGAAAATTAGACATAAGCTCAAGGATCTTTTTTTCCGAGCTCCAAAATTTTAATTTGCATTATTTGATTTGATTCATGTTAGCCAATAGCGATGGCCTTATTTGATTCTCTTGCAATCCCTTCCACATCTGTTATTCTTTCCTTTCTAGTTCTTCTTTTATTCTCTTGAACATTCTTAAGCCATCTCATCTTTATTTATGTTGCCTAACATTTATTGTACTTACTATTTGATGTGTGCGTCTCACTTATATTTTTGAAGGGTTGGTTAGGAGTCAAAATCATGCCAAATGACAGAGCAGCATCTTCTGCAGATCCAGTCGCTAAGAAATTACAGGTGAAACTAAATGCTGTGAAGAAGAAATCTGCAATAAATTATGAAAAAGAAAACCCTGCCGAAGGAAATGGATTCGGTGATAGTGAGGATGATGATGAACCAGAGAGTAGAATCAAAGCTTTATCTAAAAAAAGATCACATCCTGTAGCTCCACCACAACAATATACCAAGAAAAATAGATGATAAGGGTTCATTTGGAACGGTTTTCTTACTACTACTTAAAAAATTAAAATTTTTGTACTAAAAAGCTGCTTTAAGAAATGGTAAGAAAGCCACCCAAACGAAACCTAATTCATTTTATGTGGTGCTTATTATTTTTTTATACTAGTGAAAATGTTAAAACCAATAATCTGCTCATTTACTTCCTGCATCATATGTGGCGCTTTATTACTTAAAAGTTCCAGCGAACCGTTATGTGCTCTTCTTTCTTTTCCTTCTTGCTGGAGCTTTGTCAATGTGTAAGCTAGCATATCATCAAAATAGATTACACCCATACGAGCCACATGCTCATGAAATACTTTAGGTGATAATCATTTTGTAAGTGGGTATGCAATCATAAAGTTTATACTAATATGTTCAATAGAAATTTGAGAACTCTGAACTCTTTCTTTCATAACAAGAATTTTATGTCAATGTGTGGTTCAATTTTGACGAACTCTTATTATTCTTGGAATATAACTCAGCTGCTTTATTATCATAATTTATCTTCAAATGATCTCTCAATGCCATCAACAATATGTAGCCATGTGATAAAATTTCACAATCATATTCCTTGATTTGAAGTATCATAATAAGCTATAAACTTTGCTTCTATTATTGAAGAAGCTATAAGTGATTGCTTGACACTTTTCCAAGAAATAGCTCCTCTAGCCAACATAAAAATATAGCCTGAAGTGAATCTCCTGCTATCGAGGCAACCAACAAAATCAGAGTCGAAATACCCCATGATCTCTAAATGATCAGATCTTTGATATGTGAACATAAAATCTCTTGGCCTTTTTAGATACCTCATAACCCATTTCACTTCTTTCCAATGATCTCTTCTTGGGTTGCTTAAATATCTACCAAGCATTCTAATAATGTACGCAATATTCGGATGCGTACAAACTTGAGCATACATAAGACTCCTAGGAATCCTTCTTATGTTAATAAGCTCATTCAAACCAATTCCTAGGTGAACCCTAGGTCAAAACCCAAAATTATTTGAAAGAAATCTCTTAGTCTCATGTAATAAGCCTATATCACTGCTTACTAAAAGAATATCATCGACATATAACACCAGGAGAATAAATTTACTACCACTGATCTTATGATAAATGCATTAAGCAATAGTATTTTTCTTAAACCAAATGAAGAAATCACTTGATCAAATTTTATATACCATTGATAGGAAGCTTGCTTTAAACTATAGATGAATTTTTTTAATTTTCACACTAGAAATTTTGAATCAGAAGATTGAAATTTTTCTGATTGTATCATATATATAATTTCCTTAATATTTAAATTAAGGAATGCAATCTTTACATCCATCTGGTGTAGCTCTAAATCATAATGAGTTATAAATGCCATAATGATTCTAAAAGAGTCTTTTGAAGAAGCTGGAGAGAAAATCTCTTTATAATCAATGCCTTCCTTTTGAGTGAAATATTTAGCAACTAGATGTGCTTTATATCTTTTAATATTGCCTATTATATCCCTTTTGGTTTTCAAAATCCATTTACAACCAATCGGTTTTGCTCCTTCAAGCAATTTAGAAAGATCCCAAATATCATTGTCTTTCAGTGATTTCATCTCATCTTCCATGACTTCTATTCATTTTTTAGAATTAAAACATTATTTGACCTGACTGAATGAGATTGGATCATCTTCCAATCCCATATCAAACTCATGCTCTTGGAGATATATAATATAATCATGTAAAATTGTTGTTCTCCTTTCTCTTGTGGATCTCCTTAATAGAACTTCAGTTTGAGGTTATTATCCTTCTATATGAATGAGATATAATTCAAGATTATTTTGATTATCAGGATTTACAATCTGAATAATATCAGACATAGTTACCTGATCATTTTTAATTATAATAGTAGGAATAATAACATATTCCTCCTCAAAATCAAAATCTTTAAATTTATCACTCCCAATATATTCAACATCCTTAATAAATTTAGCATTGCCCGTCTCAAAAAAGGATTTATTTGAGAAATCATAAAATTTAAAACCTCTTGACCTTTTAGAGTATCCAACAAAATAATAGCTAACAGTTCTTGAGTCCAAATTTCTTTCAATAGGCTTATAAGGCCTAGCCTCAGCTGGACATCCCTAGACATAAAAATGCCTAATATTAGGTTTCTTTCCAATCCATAACTCATATGGGGTTTAGTTACAGCTTTGCTTTGAACTCTATTAAGAATATAAACTGTAGTCTTTAAGGCTTCTCCCCAAAGTGAATCTGGTAAAGAAGAATGATTAATCATACTTCTAACCATATCCTTTAAGGTTTTATTTTGTCTCTCAGCTACACCATTTCGATCTGGAGTCCCTGACATAGTATATTGAGGAACGATGCCACTTTCTATTAAATATCTTGCAAAAAGGCCTGAACATTGTTCACCTATTCTATCAAATCTACCATAGTATTCACCACCACAGTCATAGTTGACAGCTTTAATCTTCTTATTAAGTTGATTTTCAACTTCTGCTTTGAAGATTTTAAATACATCCAGAGATTTTGATTTTTTATATATTAAGTATAATTACCCACAATAAGAATAATCATCTATAAAAATAATAAAATATTATTGACTAATCCAAGAAGCTATAGGGAATAGGCCACAAATATCAGTATGTATTAATTTCAAGATATTTAAACTCCTTTTGGCGCCAAATTTCTTAATATTTATTTATTTTTCCTTAATATCTTTTAATATAAATTTTTAAATCAGTATAATTAAGGGAATCAAGAATTCCATCTGACATAAGCCTTTTAAGTTTTTGTTTAGAAATATCTCATAAACGCTTATGTTATAACATAAAGGAATTCTAATAAGTTAATTTTCTCTTTATATCAAAATTATTTATATGCAAAGTTTTATTTATCTATGAGGCAAAAATATGTAATTTATATAGATTATCAATCAAAGAATCTGTACCAATGATTTTTGAACACTAAAAGAGACTAAATTTTCCATTTTTAAATGAACAAGCATAACCAGATTTATCGAAACATGAAATATAAATCATATTTCGTCTAAATGATGGTACATAAAAAATCTCACACAAATCCAAAGTACAATCAGATTCTAAGTATAATATATATAAGCTACAACTTTAATAGAGGATTTATTGTCATTTCCCACATAGACGAATCTTTCAGCATCAGTTGGCACTCTGCTTTTTAAATAACCCTACATAGTCACACTTAGGAGAGTAGTTGCACCTGTATCTATGCACCAGGTATGATTTTGTACTAAGGCCAAATTAACTTTAAAACAAATAAAATTAAGAAGTTTACCCTTTTTGACGAGTTAATTCGCATATTTTGGACAATCCTTCTTCACATGACCAGATTTCTTATAAAAGAAATAAATAATAACCAGATCTTGCTTATGTTACACTGTAGGTTATGAAGTCCCTTTATCTGCACCTCCTTTAACTTTATAATTCCTTTTTCTTTTGATAGCAAAATCATGAGAGGAAGAAGCTAAGTGAGCACTTTCTATCTTTTCCTATTTCACTCTTTTATTCCTCTTGCACACATTGAGTAATAAACTCATTAAGAGTTCATTTTTCCTTTTGAGTATTATAACTTACTTTAAAATAACTGAATTGTGCAGGAAGAGAGATTAAGACTAGATGCACAAGAATATCATAAGATAATTCTAACTTTTAGTCTTGTAATAAGATTAAACATTTTTATAATATACTCCCTTATGTTCCCTTTTCCTTTATACTGCTTTGAAACAAGTTTAATAAGAATAGTACTTGTTTTGACCTTTTTAGAACCTGCAAAGTGGTCTATTATTTAGCTTAGGAATTTCTTAGCAATTTCCTCCTCAAGCATTGCACCCCTGATGGTATCTGGAATCGAGTGCTTCATGATCATATGACTCATGTGGTTTGATCGCTCCCACTTTTTAAAATTTACATTTTATTCAAAAGTGCTTTCCGCATTAAGGGCGAGAAGGCAATCAGTTTGAATCGTATAGTCTAGATCCAAACACCAAAGAAAAATAATAATATGCTCTTTCCATTTCTTAAAATTAGAGCCATTAAGTACTGAAATATTATTCGAATTGACAGATATAGAAGAAACATTAATTGAAAAAGAACAAAAATAAATAAGCTCATAATTAGTAACAACATATGATGGGCCCTTTATAAGATACATAAAATAACATTATAATTTAGTTTTTGGAAAGAAATTATAATTTGTAAATGGTACTCTTAAATTTATAGTTAATAAATATTGATAAAAATTCTGTCAATAACAATTCATTCTTTGGACCGACTTACTATATGGATAAATAATTTCAAAATTATCATATATTTATAACTATATCTTTAGAGTCCAGCCAAAAAATAATCTTCCTTTGGGCTCATTATTTTTCACATAAATTAGAAAAAATTCTTTAGCATTATTCAATTAACTTTAAATTAAATAAATTGATATAATAGAGATCTCTTTTTTTTTTGAAGAAAGCAGGACTGTTATATTAAAAAAAATATGAAAGCAAATTACAAGACACTAATATCCGACTCCTCCTCTAACAGTTTAATAAAGGAAAGAGGGATATTTTTCCAATTATCTTCATCCAAAAAAAAAAAAGATTTAAAATAAGCATAATTGCTACAAAGACCAGCTAGCTTATTTCTCTCCCTACCAACACAAGAAAAGATAACATGATTGATATTTTTAATAAAATAGAGATCAATAGCACTTTTGTTACTTGCATCCATTTCTTTCTTGATGAGATTGATAACATTCTTGTTATCCTCTTCAATAATCAAGCCTTTATATTCCAACATCCAATCTTTGAATATGTTCTTTAAATAAGTGATGGCTTGAAGTTCTAATGCACCTGAATCCCAATGAATGAGATTACAAACGAAAGCCAAAAGTAGCCTGCCATGATGATCTCTAAATACTCCTCCCATACCCGCCTTATAGGAATTGTGAAGAGCTGCGTCTATGTTGACCTTGATCCAATCAGGTGGAGGAGGGAGCCAAGAATTGAACAACCTAGTAGGTTGATTAACATCCTTGAAGCCTAAATTTGAACATAAATGGTTTCTGAAAGTAGTTTTATAGCTAACAGCCTCAGAAGCTGTAAACAACGGAGTAGGAGCCTTCTTCTCGTGAACAAACTGATTTCTTGCTCTCCATGATAGATAAATCGTATTACAAAATATATTTATCATCCATAAGCATTGTTTATCAAGCGACCTATAACAATTTTCCACAGAAGCAAAGGCAGGGAAACAAAATCCCATATGGTTCATAATATCAAATACCTCATATAGTTTCCTGTAACCACGAACAATGTGGTCTAGATCTTCTACCTCCTCACAACCTCTAGGACATTTATCAAATCCTAGTAATCTTCTATAGCAAAGAAATTTGTTTGTTGGGATAGTGTTATTGAAGATTCTCCACCAGAATAATTTAACTTTAGGATTTAGTTTGGCTTTGCTGAACCAAACCAGAGAATTACCAATAGAAATTCCATTTTCCATAGCTTCAGAAGCCAAGCCAGTTATCATTTTGCCAAATAACTTGTGAATAAGCTCTGTTCTGTCTTCTTCAAAATCAAAATTAATCTCCATATCAGAAATGAGAAGTACCAGTTCTTCCCCAAAGACTTTCTTCAGCTCCGATATGTTCCAAGTCTCATTGGGTATGAATTTATCAACTGTGGAATCTTGTTCAATAAGAGGATTTATAAATGTAGGCCATTTCATCAAACATTTATCCAAAATCCAAGTGTCATGTAAAACACTAATGGACTTGCCGTTGCTAATACTCTTTCTGATAATTGGATTCAAAAATTTCCCACCATTGCAAATCAACTTCCAAGAGCTAGAACCTCTGTTTCTAGCTGATACCACATCCGGAATAGGACCATATTTAGGATAGAGAATTCTGTGCATGAAAGACTCTTTCTCTTGAATATAACTCCAAGCTAGTTTGGCCCTAAGAGGACCTACCTTTTGCTGCAGGAGTTGATACCAAGCCCTCCCAGACTCCTTGGTTTGCACATCAATTCCCAGCTAGCATAATGAAGACTTGTTTTACCGTCACTTTTTTTCCAATTAAAATTCCTGCACATTTTGTCAATTTCATGCAGCACCTTCTTAGGAATTAAGGAAAGTGTAGAATGGTAAGTAGGATAAGAAAGTTAAACAGATTTTACTAATGTAATTCTACCAGCTAAGGAGATAAGCTTCACACCCCAAACATTCAACATGCTGAAAGTTTTATCAATAATGAATTGAAAATCTGATTTATTCAATCTTCTCAAGGCTACTTTAATTCCCAAGTAAGAGAAATCTTGAACTTCTTTGAACTGCATGATCTTACAAATTTTCCTTCTTCTTCTAGTCTTCACTGATTTCCCGAAAAGGATCCTAGATTTTTGAAAATTTATCCTCTGTCCCATCCATCCACTATAATTCGTGAGGATACCTTTAACTTCTTTTACAGATTTAAGGTTGGCTTCAGAAAAAATCAAAATATCATCGGTATACAATAGATGGGAAACCTTTGGGCTATTAGAAGAAATACCAATTCCAGTCATACTACCCTTATGTAAAAAGGCATTAGAAAGTAATTGAGCACACATAACAAACATAAATGGAGAAAGAGGGCACCCTTGACGAAAACCACAATGAGCATCTATCAATTTAGAATAGGAACCATTAATCTAAAGAGAAAATTTTGGAGCAGTAACACATTCCACAATAAGATTGGCATATGTAATAGGGAATTTAAAGTATTCCAAGAAACTGCTCAAAGTAGGCCAACCCATGGAATCATAAGCTTGTTCCATGTCAATTTTGAAAGAAACTAACCCCTTGGAAGCTTTGGAATGCCTAATTTTGTGAAAAATTTCTTGAGCTACAAGTACATGGTTAGAAATAAATCTTCCTTTCATGAAAGCAGCTTGCTCCTCCGTAATAAGTTTAGGAATTACTAACAAGAGTCTATTAAGGAGAATCTTAGCCACAATCTTATAAATCAAATTACAAAGACTAATCATTCTATAATTGGATGGAGTTAAAGGATTTTTGATTTTGGGAATCAAGACTATGTTAGTCTACTTCCAATTCTCATTCATCTTACCATGTTTTAAGAAATGTTCTATAGCATTCCATAAATCCTTCTTAATGATATGCCAATAATTCTTAAAGAAGGAGTAAGATGTTGAGTCTAGTAATTAGGTTGTTAAGCCTAAGTGAATGTCCCAAGGCTACCAAGAGGGGGGTGAATTGGTAGTTTAAAAAATTTAAGTCCCCTTTTAAAATTATGTTGAACCGAAATAAAAATGTTTCTTTTAAATTTTTATAGAAAATATTTTTCAACCACAGAGTTTTTAAAACTGAAAATTAAAATGCGGAAACGTAAAAACAATAAAGTAAATGACACCAGATTTATAGTGGTTCGGTCTAAAACCAGATCTACATCCACTCCCCAGAGGCATCCTCTGAGTATTGCACTAATACCAATAGTGACTCTCCTTTTGCACCCACAGCAAGGAGGAGAAGCCTTTACAACACACTCTTTTCACCACTCCCCGATGCGGCAGAGAACCGTCATCCTTTTACACAATCCCCAGTATTGGTAGAGGCGTCCGTCCTTTCACACAATCCACAGTGTTGGCAGAGAACCGTCGTCCTTTCACACAATCCATAGTGTTGGCAGAGAACCGTCATCCTTTCACACAATCCTAGTGTGGGCAGAGAACCCTTCGGCTGTTCACACTCTCCAAGTGTAGGCAGAGAACCCTTCGGCTATTCACACTCTCCAAGTGTAGGCAGCGAACCCTTCGTCTGTTCACACTCTCCAAGTGTCGGCAGAGAACCGGATCTCCTTGACAGATCTTCTCACAAGAATCTAGAAGGAAGAAGGAAAAGAGTTAAGTAATCCCAATTCACAAGTAGAGACTCTTACCTTTGAAATCCAAGTGAAGCCTTCTCGCTCCAATGGTAGGAATCCTCCCTTGAATGCTCTCTTCCACTCTCTCCTTGACTATTCTCTCAAGAGGCACAAAGATCAAATGACAAAAAGATTGGGTGGCAGTCTAATTTGGACTATTTATACAAAAGACAAGAAAAACCGCCCAAAAACTATAAGTTTTCAATTCTGTACGCAGTGGATCGTCCTGTACGATCGTGGATCGTCCTGGACGATTTTACTTAAACGATTTGAAACGACCCTATTTGTATATGTGTACGAAATGTCTTCGTACAGCTGATCGTCCCGTATGAACTAGGTTCGTCCGGTACGAACGGTTATTACAAGGTCGGTTCTAGAAACTGCTGAAAACTGTTCTAAGTCGGTTAATCGTTTGGAAGAAAATTTGTTCGTCTAGACGAAATTTTTACAGAGGACCGATCATCCTGGACGATTCTTAATTTTGTTTGGATGAAAATTTTCCAGAGGACCAATCGCCATATACGATAATTTTATTTCGTCTGGACGAAAATTTGCCAGAGACCAGATCGTCCTGGGCGATATTTAATTTCGTCTGGATGAAAATTTTCCAGAGGACCAATCGCCACAAACGATAATTTATTTTCGTCTGGACGAAAATTTTCCAGAGGACCAATCGTCCTGGACAATAATTACTTTCGTCCTGGACGAATAGGACTTAGAAAAATTTTTTCGAGCAAGTTCCTATTCGTTTCATGTGCTCAATAGGAGATAACTGTCTGATCGTCCAGTACGAACTGATATCGTCCCGTACGATCATTATAAATTTTATATGATCTCCTTATGTGTGTGTGTATATTTTTATTCACTCAAATTACAATCACTCCCTTTCAATTTAATTTCAAAGAAAAGTACAAGCTTCAAATTTTACAAAGTATCTCATGCTGAATTTAATTTGAAGTCTTCGTAGTCTGGAGTTCATGTTTCCTGAAATGTTAGTACACACAAGAGCAAATACAATTCTTCTAAAATTGTCAGGAGATAACTACACATTATAACAATAATGTTTGGAATCATCAAAACTACATAAGTTGCAGAAATGTAAAGCATGCAAATAGCAACTATCTTAACATAAGAAATACCATCATGTCCCGATGCAATATTGCTTCCAAGTTCCTTAATGACATTATCCAATTCTTCAAAAGAGAATTCCTTGCTCAGCATTAAATTATCATCTTCCAATAAAGTTTTCACTTGGCTCGACCAGCCATTTAAAATGCAGTTTTTGAATTCCCATTTATTGCAGAAATACTGGTAGAGAATGTGTTCTATCTTCTTTTGATCTTCAATAATCATACCTTGCTCATTTTTTAACTTGTGAATGTAGTTTGTATTTCTCCTTGCACTTGCATAAGCTTGGAAAAAATTGGAATTAGAATCTCCTTCCACCAACCATTTGATCTTAGATCTTTGTTTCCACCATGTATTGATTCTAGCCAAAACCGAATTGAGTTCGTCAATTTTAGTCTTTAATTTCCATTGTTCTTCTAAACTGAGACTTCCGGATTCAGCTTCCTTTTCCTATAATCTTAGGATATCATTTTTTATGTCTTCTTTGGAAATGTTTAAATATTTAAACTTAGCTTTACTCCAATAATAAAGGTCCCTTAAGGACCTTTTCAATTTCTGGTTTAGTGCTTGAGCTGGATCGCCAAGAGCCTTCTTCTTCCATGATTCTCTGACAATTGCTGTAGAGGCAGAAATAGAGGTCCAACCTCTTCAAATTTGATAGCTTTCTTCCTTGGTGGATTGAAATCCAATAATTCATCAAAATCGAACAATGATCCGATGCCAACCTAGCCAAGTGTCTCACCAAAAGCCTGTGAGAAGGATTGAAAGTTGCTGAGTTGATAAGGCACCTATCCAGCTTTTCAAGAAATTTTTCAGGCCCTTTTTTATTGTTGCTCCAAGTAAACTTTGGCCCAACACAAGCTACTTCATGTAAGTCATTATGTGATATGAAAGCCTTCATCTCCATTAGCCCCAAACTACAAACAAATTTCGTTCCACCTTTTTTTCCTTCTTTATTCAATAAAAAATTAAAGTCCCCCCTATTATCACAGGGTATTCTTTGACCATATGCATCTCAAGCCTTTCCCATAAGTACCTTCTTTTATAGACATCTTTGTTGCCGTAAACTGTAGCAATTCTTCAAGTTCCTTTATTGATCACTTTAAGATCTCCAACAATCAATTGTGAAGAAGCCTCCAACAAATTGAAAGAAGCCAAGCTATGATTCCACAACACCATAATGCCCCCTGAGAGCCCATCAGAGGGATAAAGAAAATAATCCCAACCTTCTCCTACCATTTGATTGATGAGTTTCTTGTCCACGTCAGTTATCTTAGTTTTAATCATGCCAAGGAAAAACAAACCATAATCTTTAGAGAACTCCCTAATATAAAGAGAAGCTTTTAATTTCTTAGCTCCTATAAAATTCCAAAATTCAATTGAAGACATTTAATGATCAAAGGGGAAAAGGTTCCCCGCCCTTCCTCTAGTCTCTCCTTCCAACTTTCTGCTCCTTAGACTTAATTTTATAGGACCTAAACTTTCCAGTTGTTTAGTTCCTTTCTTCTTCACTTTGCTTGAACTATCTTCTATCTTCAATGAACTGTCTTCCGCTTCTTCACAGTCTATCATTCCTTCATTAACTCCACTATCAGAAATGATTCCAGACTTGTATTTTTGTTCATGAGCATTTTCACTGAAACTGGTTATTTCACCTTCCTCCATCATATTGTTTAAGACTTCAAACTGATTATGATTGCAGGGATTATTCTCTAAGATCAATTCTTCTTTCTTCTTGCTGTTTTCAGAGTTGAAATCATCTAAATTCCTTCCATTATTGACAGTCTCTCCCTCCGAAATAGTCACTCCACCAAGATTGTCTGTTTTGTCCAGAACAAAATTTTCATAGATTATAGCTTCTTCTTTG